TCTGAAGATAGCCTCAACCCAGTTGAATAGGTATATGCATTTCAGTTTTCTAATTTTGGATTTAAGGTGTTTTTAGGGTTTAAAATCGAACAAATTAGGGGTTTTCAGTTTTGATGGAATTTGATATTCCTTCTAATTGAACTTGGTTAGATAATCCTCTATTGATGCTAGTCCTTTTCTTTTGATTTTTTTATCTGGTACAGTTACAGAGACTCAGAGAGGTATAACTGCTCCTAGATGCAACGTATTTGACTGGAGATGTACAAGAACCCAGAAAGTGCTAACTCTTGAGTTCGTCCACCTATTGAAGAGGTAAAATAATTGTTTGCAATGCTCAACAATTGACACATGTTATTGATGAATTTCAAAGAATTCGATGACTTTCTTACGTATTTCACTTTGTGCAGATGCTAGCAAAATGAACCACCCACTTTGACAAGGTATATATATTACAGGCTCTGTAGAGATGAAGCTGAAATTGCTGAACATGTAGTTGGTGGAATATGAATCTTGTTTCGAGGGAGGAAGGATAGAAACTACTCAACATTATTTTGTAGAAGTTTAATCTAAAACTTTTTTTTTATAAGAAGCCCTGTAATCTAAAACTTCCAATATCTTTTGTATGGTTAGATCATGTTATATGATCAATTAGATTTGTATGACTTTTATTTACCTTTGTACTTTGTATGGTTAGATCATGCGATATGATCAATTAGATTTGTATAGCTTTTATTTTGTTATGATGTTAATTAAACTCCTCAATTAATTTCTATAATTAATTTTATAGTTACAATCACGGGAATTAATTTACCTATTTTTAATCTTCGCTTTCCGTGACTAATAATCAGTCACGGTTAATTACGGTGAATAATATGAATATTTTAGCAATACAAACTTTCCCAAAATTTAGTTGGGAGAATATGAGTTGGCTTCAATATTTCTTTGGCTAAAAAAAAATACAAACTTTCCCAAAATTTAGGTGGGAGAATTTGGTTGGCTCTAAAATTTCTTTGGCTAAAAAAAAATACAAACTTTCCCAAAATTTAGGTGGGAAAATGTGGGTTGGCTCCAAAAAAGTGTCCACCAACGAAACATTTTGGCTCAAACAAAATTGGCCAATGAATTATCCCGCCTTATTATTGCAAGTTTGGGCCCTAAACAGGTTTTGTGCTTTGTCCCTCAACCCGATTTATGTGTATGTATGAGCTGATGTGAGAGAAACCATGAGTGAGAAATGCTCTCGTTTCCAGCGATCGAGTCCAACTATTCTCATGATTAAATGGCCTTTTTCCTGTAGTGTTATGAGTCATGTATTCTTGTTATGATCGTCATTTGGAATGTCAATTTGTTTTTTGGACATGTTTTTATTGATATTTGAGGTCTTGAGACAATATGAACTATTATGAGTAATGTATTCTTGTTATGATCAGACTTTTGTGAACTATTATTAGTCTTTTTTTATGACAGGACCATGATATTTGGATTTTAAATCTTATAATTATCTTATTATGCTAAATTAATATTTTATAATGTTATGTGCACTATTAGGTTGATGATGTATCTCAATAAATATTTGATGATATTATATGCGTTAATAGATTGATGATGTATATTATTATACTAAGTTAATAATTGATAATGTAATGATCAGACTTTAGTGAACGAGAATTTCAAATGTCAACTTTTGGTTTATCTTCATCGAATTCCTTCTATTATAGTCGGGCTGCAGGTTGGTCGGGTTACGAGTTCGGGTTAGTAGGGTTGCGGGTTGGTCGGGTTGCGGGTTAATCGGGTTGCGGGTTAGTCGGGTTGCGGGTCGAGCGGGTTACGGGTCATTGACTTTTAGTCAAATCGGATTGCGGGTCGGGTTGATCAGGCAGGTTACTCGGGTCGGGTTATATTTTGACAGCTCTACTAACTATAACCGACTACTGGTACAGTATAATTCAGCGGCCACTTACACTTGAGCTTTTTTTATTTTGATTTTTTTTTTGCGTACAAGGAGGCAAAAGCCGAGGAAAAGAAACCCAGGGGGTTTTACAGGATAGCGGGAGTAGGCGCCACAATCCGGCGCTCGAATGAAACACCCATGGCGTCCTCTCTAACAATAGAAGCTAACTCGGGGGGTGGGTTAGCAACCTCATGCACACCATAGGGATAGACGAGACTGTGCTTAGAGAGCCAGTCCGCAACTCTATTCCCTTCCCGGTATACATGAGTGATGCTTACCAACCACTCCTGACTAATCTTCCTACGGATCGCTGAGAGAAGGGTTGCATGGGGATGAACATGGTCATTTCTGTTGTTGATGAGCTATCGCAAGCTGGCAGTCAGACTCAAGGCACACCTTCCGACACCCTTTTTTCCAAGCCGTATCCAATCCATGAAACACTGCCCACAGCTCGGCCAAAATAGTCGTTGCCATCCCAAAGTTTGCAAGGAAACCAGCAATCCATTTACCTGTCCAATCGCGGAGCACACCTCCTGCTCCAGCAGCTCCAAGGTTGTCGTTAGAGGCCCATCAACGTTTAGAGCCACCCAACCATGCATCGCGGAGGTCCACCCAACCATCACCGTAGTTCGGGCAGTCGCCGACCCTCTACCATTGGGGAGAGGAGAGGGAGCTTGCCAAGCCTCATGCCACATTTTACACTTAGCCATAATCGAGTACTCAAGGGAAGGAGGGGAGAGGGCAGAGCTTGGACCTTTGAAACAGGACGTGCACCGATTCTTCCAAATGAGCCATGATGCGACGCTGAAAAAGCTGCCCAACTCATACCCGATCCCATTGGCTCGCTGCTCCTAAGATTCTCACGCAGCCAGTTGCTTTCGTCAGTGTTGAAGAAACTGAACTGAAGGCTAGGCGGGTTGTGACGAAGCCAAAAGTAACGGGCCGCTGTGCAATCACGCAGAGTATGCAGGATGGACTCGACCAGGTGCCCGCAGCTAAAACAACTCTGGTTGATTGTTACTTTTCTTGAGAACAGGAGAGACTTAGTCGCCAATCTCCCCAAGACAACAAGCCACATAAAGCTCCTGATCCTTTCCGTAACAGGAAGGCTCCAGATGATCTTCCAAATTTCCTCATCCGGGTCGGGCGGTCTCTGGTTTTGGAGGGAATAGGCTGACTTCGCCGAAAACATTCCATCCGACGAAGCTGGCGAGAAAATGGTATCATCCTCCGTGGCCATCTTGTCAACTCCAATGCTAAGGATCATCTGAAACACGTCGCTCGGGATGAGGTCCTCAAAGAGCTCCGTCCGCCAGGTTCCATCTTCCTCCACGAAATTCTCGATCGGCTCTGCAACATCAGACTCCAGGATATGGCCAAGTGCAACCTCCTTAAGTGGAACCTGTAAAACCCACGAATCAAGCCAAAACTTAGTGTGTTTACCGTTCTTTATATTCCAAGCACAACCTTTCCGGAGGAGATCAGAAGCTTTAGCAAAGCTTCGCCAGGTAAAGGAACTTCGCTGAATTGGACGGATGAGCTCAAGGTTCTCCCGCTGTCGGCCATATATAGCTACCATCAACTGGGTCCATAGGCTGTCTTTCTCCTTCATCAATATCCAGCCGCTCTTCGCAAGCATCGCAAGATTTGCTTGCTTGAGAGATCTTAAGCCAGCTCCACCTTGCACCTTGGGCTGTGTCATCTTGTCCCAGGCTACCAGATGCATCTTCGATTTGTCTTCCTCGTCTCCCCATATAAAGTCCATGTTCATCCTGTCAATGCTCTTACAAACAGTACTGGGGATTAATTCAGTATTCATGTAGTAGGTAGGAAGGGAGGACGAAACAGATTTGACAACAGTAAGCCTGGCCGCAAAGGAAAGTTTTTTCGCCTTCCAGGAAGCCAGCTTCTGCTGGATGCGGAGAAGAGATTCTGATAGCGGCTTTGAGTGACCCTTCCATGGATAGTCTGAAGCCCCAGGTACTTTCCTAGCTCCGTCTTAAGAGGAATGCCAGCTCGTCTGCTAAAGTATTCTGCCCTCTGTCGATCCACATTAGGCGACACAATCAACAGGGATTTGCTGTAATTTACTCTTTGTTCGGAGCTTAAGCATAAATCGTCCAAACACTGCCGAATGACCCTGATCTGTCTCGTCTCTGCTTCTGCAAACAAAAGAAGGTCATCTGCAAAAAAAGGTGAGTAAAAGGCGGCCCTCCCCCGGTCAGGTGGATGGGTTTCCAGCTCCTGTTATTAACGGCCTCATCAATCATATGAGAAAGACGTTCCATACACAACACAAAAAGGTAGGGTGAAAGAGGGTCTCCCTGGCGCACTCCCCGTGTCGGGGTCAGAGTTGGGGACAATTCCCCATTCCAGAGGATCCTCATTCAATTCTGCTCCACACAATACATGATGCAATTGATCCACGTGCTGGGCCATCCTACTTCCTTGAGAGTGTCACGCAGAAAATCCCATCTCAGCAAATCATACGCCTTCTACAGATCAATCTTCAGGATGAGCCCTCCCTTCTTCCCTTTCGAGAGTGTGAAGCGCTTCCTGCACAACAATGATGTTGTCCGTCGTCTGTCTTCCTGGAATGAAGCTGCTCTGCCTCGGTGAAACAAGCTTTTTCATCACCGGTTTCAGTCTGCTGGTCATTGCCTTTGTGATAGCCTTCAAGTTGATGTTGTTGAGGGATATAGGCCGCAGCTGAGAAACAACTTCCGGACTATCAACCTTCGGGATCAACACCACCGTAGACTCTAAGATCGCTTTTGGCAAAAGACCTGTAGAAAAGAAGTTAATAGCCAAATCTGTTAAAGCCTTACACAGTTACACTTGAGCTTTAAGAGTGAACTATAGGACTGAAAAGTAAACAATAGAGCTGGAATCTTTGTCATAGCCTAGCCCAAAATAGGTTGGGCCGTTGGGCCTTCTCTGTTGGCTTTGTGATAAAAAAAAAAACAAATAAAGATTTTCATTTATTTTTCTGCAACTTTCTTCTCTATTTCTTGCGTGAAATTTTGTTGCGTAGTTGACTAGCCGCGGACCCAGGGCGGACAACGATGAAGAAGAATAAGGCGAAGCACTGGCAAACAGTGGAGGATTAATTCCTTTCCTCCTTCATAATTCCCAGTTTGCCGAGTCCATCTTCCTTCTGCTGGTAAGCGATTCCTTCGGTGATGTCTGGTGTTCTTGTTCCAAAGCTACCTTTCATTTTCTGTCTTCAATTGCTGAATTCTTGACTATATGGGATCACCGTAAAGCAGCCGCCTCCGTATCTTTCCTTAACGGTAGAGTTTTTCAATTTCGATTTGCTTGAGAGCTCTGCATTGCACATCGTTGACAGATTGGGTGAATCAGTTTGTGGGTAGTTGTAAAGTTCCCCTGTTTGCAGCTACAACGACTGGCGGAACTCCAGAACGAACTTGGGTTTCCTGTGAAAACTTGTCTGCTTGAATTTCCGTGATGCCTGAACATTAGTTTAGTATTATATCTGTAATGTGCCCCCAGAAACTTGCTCGCGTCAAGTTTCCCATTGTCAGACCTCCCTTTCCTGTTTTAGAACATGAATCAATTCCTGATTTGGAATTCTCACAGCAGGGTTTGGATATCAACTACTGGTTCCATGTCAATTATTTCATTGATCCACTATTCATGTCTAAGGGCACCCCCTTAGTTGCTCTTATTTCTGAGCTAAAGTTGTCGTTTTCTATTGGGAATGATGCCTTGATTGCTTACGTTTATCCGTTTTAAGTCACTGTTGACTTGGAGAATCTTATTAAGGAGTTGCAGATGAATCTCATGTTGATATTTGCTTTGAAATTTTCCCAGTTGTACCCGTAAGGAGCTTGTTTTGCTTGAATATCTCTCACTACCAATGGCCACAAAGCCATTGAGCAACATATGGATTCGACAACAACAATGCCCATGCGGAGACTGGAAGTGCTACCTTAGGTCTGATGGAGATGATCAATCAACATCAATAAACTCCCACTTACCAAAGAATGAGCCAACGACATCATCCTCATCATTGGTCGAACCAGTCTTCACACCCTATGTTGGTCAGATTTTCAAGACCGACGCAGATGCCTTTCAGTGCTACAGCAACTTTGCGCGAAAGAATGGCTTCTCAATCAGGAAAGCACGATCAACTGAAAGCCAAAACCTTGGAGTCTATAGGCGTGACTTTGTTTGCTACCGGTCGGGATTCAATCAGCCTAGAAAAAAAGCCAATGTGGAGCATCCCAGGGACCGAAAGTCGGTTCGATGTGGATGTGATGCAAAGTTGTATTTAACAAAGGAAATAGTAGACGGTGTTGTTCAGTGGTATATCTCACAGTTCAGCAATATACACAATCACGAGTTGTTGGAAGATGATCAAGTTCGACTCTTACCTGCATATAGAAAAATTCATGAAGCTGATCAAGAACGTATTGTCTTGTTATCCAAGGCTGGGTTTCCTGTGAATCGGATAGTTAAAGTGTTGGAGTTGGAAAAGGGAGTTCAGCCTGGGCAGCTTCCCTTCATAGAGAAGGATGTGAGAAACTTTGTAAGGACCTGTAAGAAGACTGTTCAAGAAACTGATGTTTTGCTTACTGAGAAGAAGGAGAACGATAGGTTGGAGCTTCTTGAAGCATGCAAGGGTATGGCAGAGAGGGATAGTGATTTCGCTTATGATTATAGCACAGGTGTAAATGAAAAGATTGAGAATGTTGCATGGGCATATGGGGAATCCGTTCGAGCCTATGCATTGTATGGAGATGTTGTTTACCTTGATACAACCTATCGTTCAATAACCTATGGATTGCTTCTAGGAGTGATGTTTGGCATGGATAATCATGGGAAGGCTGTTCTGTTCGGATGTTTCTTGCTGCAAGATGAAAGTTGTAACTCTTTTGCATGGGCTTTACATACTTTTGTTCGATTTATGAGAAGTAGACAGCCACAGACGATTCTAACAGATGTAGATTCTGGGATTATGGATGCTATAGCAATGGAATTGCCAGATGCTAAGCATGTGATATGTCTATGGCACGTGATGTCCAAGTTGTCTAGCTGGTTCTGTTTGCTTCTTGGTCAGCAGTATGGGGATTTTAAAGCTGAGTTTGATATCATCTGTCGCTTGGAAAGTGGAGAGGAATTTGAACACCAATGGAATCTTTTGATTGGAAGATTTGGACTTGTTTCGGATAAGCATGCTGCTTTGCTCTACTCGTATAAAGGATCCTGGTCAATGAGTTATGTTAGAGGGTGCTTTCTGGCTCGTATGTTGACTCCTGAGTTCTCGCAGTCGGTTGATTTGTTCTTGAAAAGGATTCTGAATGGACAGTCATGTTTGCAAGTGTTCTTTGAGCAGGTTACTTACTCTCATTACTTCGCATGGGTTTTAATTGCTAGTTAGCTCTGCTATTTTAACATTTATCTTCAGCTCTTTAAACTTTTGTGGGGATCTTGTAGGTGAATGCTGCTGCCAACTACGCGAATGAAGCCAAAACCAGGATTTACTATTCGCCGATCAAGACAGGCACACCTATCGAAGAGCATGCACGGAGCATTCTTACACCTTACGCTTTCAACATCTTTCAGCAAGAAATTGTGTTGTCCATGCAATATGGAGCGCAAGAACTGCCAGATGGGTCATATCTCGTACAACATTTTAAGAAATTGGATGGAGAATATTTCATAATTTGGATACCTGAAGAGGAACAGGTTCACTGTTCGTGCAAAGAATTCGAGCACTCGGGGATTCTGTGTCGGCATTCTCTGAGGTTACTTCAGCTCAAGAACTGCTTTCAGCTCCCAGAAAAATATTTACCAGTCCGCTGGAGAATTACTGTGGGAGAAGATCCTAATGCTGAAAGCAACAGTGATGAGTGTGTTCAAAGCTTCCATATTCTTGCTGCATCTCTACTGACTGAATCGGTGATATCCAAAGATCGGTTTAGTTATGTTCGTAAGGAGCTTTCAACAATACTTGAGCATGTTCGAAGCATGCCAGCTGGAGAAGAATTGCTTCTCAATGTGGCTGCTAATAATGGCGTTGAATCATAACTGGGATAAAATATAGTCTAGGGTGACCTATATAAACCAGAGTTATAACATTGCGCATCAAAATATAATTTTTGCTTATCTTTGATTGCGTTGAACAGCAACCGGAAGGGGTGAAATACAAGCTTTTTGGTTGCTTCTATCTGCATCTTTATTCAATTATTCTTGGGTTAATATATTTGTATGGCATGAACTTTGATTAAAATAATCATCCCGACCAATCTTTTCAATCTATAACATTCTGGCCTAAACTATACATCAAAATAACTAAATTGGCCAAACCCAACGTTTGACCGTTAACTTGGACAGTCAGACGCGTTGACTGTCGGTCAACGCGCCATCACTGCCAACTTAGCAAATATAAATTAAAAATTCATGAATTCCACATAATCTCTATTTTTGAATTATTATAATTAAATAAAAAAATTAAAACAAAAATATTAATAAAAGACTCACGCTTCCCTTTCTCTAGTTTCGACCTTTTCTTTCTCGCGATGATCTCTGTCCACAACAAGGAGGCCGGCGCCGGCGCCTGGCAGCGAAGGGAGTTTTAGAAGACTGGAGCGTGGGATCAGCGACAAGAATGGTGCCGCCGAGTCCGTGTTCAGCAGCAGGAGTTTTCGCATCACCGAAACCAGAGGTGGGTGCATCTTCCTCTAACGATTTGCGAGGCTTTGACGTTCGGATCTGAGTTGGTGGCGGAAGAACAGAAGGAAGATAAAGAAGAAGGCTATAGTAGCCCAGAGATGCGGCAGAGGAGATATAGAAGGTATCATGGATTTGAGAAGATCGATTTCGATTATTGATGAGATGTGAGAAGATTGATTTCGCCGCCAATTTCAGATCCTAGAACAATGGACCATTGGAGCTCGATTTTCCCCTTGGAATGGGTTTTCTACACGGCGACGAACATCGCTCCGTGGATCTTGACCGTCGGGGCGTCCACCGTTGACCGTGATTTCCCGGTGGATGTCGTGCTCAGAGATGGAAGCATGCACGCTGGAGTTTCACTCTACGATGGGGACGGTCTGCCGGAGGGAGAGCTTTTGCCTCTTGTGTACAGCGCCAATTGCAGGAGCAAGTACTGCTATTCGGGATACCTCGACCCGGCGAAAGTGAAGGGAAAGATTGTGTTCTGCGATCGCGGTGAAGGTGAAGGGGAAGATAGGTACACCCCTTGGAGTGGCGAATCTGTCGCATCTATTCAAATTTGAAAGGGGGTCTGTCGGAAGCTGGAAATTGGACACGAATTAGGGTTTTAGAATCAAAGAGGAGGTAGAGGCAGTTGGGAAATCGAAAATCGAAGAAGGGGTTGGGGGAGTAGACGGAGGGGAGCCGCCGGTGGGGGTTACTATTATTTTTTAATTTAATTGTAATAATTCAAAATTAGAAAATATTTGTAAATTGTGAATATTTTAATGATTTATATGATGATCGGGCGGTGACGTGGCATGTTGACCGTTAGTCAACGTGTTTGACCGTCTAAATTAACGGTCAAACATCGGGTTTGGCCAATTTAGTTATTTTGATGTATAGTTTGGGTCAGGATGTTATAGATCGAAAATATTGGTCAGGATGTTTATTATGGTTAAAGTTCAGGCCATACAAATATATTAACCTATTATTCTTTTAGTGCTCCTTGTTAAGAAATACCTCAGAATTCAGGTTGTATGCACTTTCTGATTAATCATTGTTAATGAGCCGATCCGAACCGAGTTTTATCATATTCAGATTTTGTTCGTTTATAAATGAGTCAACCTCGAGCTCGCTTTGTTTATAAACGAGTTGATTTGAGTAGAAAACGATTCAGCTCATTTATTAAATCTTGGCTAATCATTAAGATCAAAAGTTTGGGTTGAGCTCAACTCTAAGATAACTTATAAATGAAATATCATAATATTTATATGCCATATATGATACATGAGATTAATTGCTGACATACTCAAAGTATTAAACATCATATGAGGTGAGATATACGATTTTATAAATCTATGCATCATTGACAAACCAACTCATAAGATATAGATTGATTTTGTCATAGGTCGTAGTCAAATTGGTTGCTAGTCACGATGTTGAGACATTTCATGAGCTCAAAACGAGACCGTACATGAGTTGAACTCAACAAACCACCTAATCAATCTAGTTCACGAGCCTGATGAGCTGAACAGGGTTGAGTTCAAGCTCGGCTAATTAAAAAACGAATCAAGCTTTTCTTGAATCAAACGAGCTTTTATCGAATTGAACACCGAGCTGTTAGCGAATAGCTTGTTTCATTAACAATCCTGACTAGAAGACGCCAAATCTCATGTCTGCAATCTTTTCTGGCTGTTTTGAGTTGTGACATAGTTGGCATAATTGCTAGGATAGAATGGAATCAACCATAGCGAGTGGGAACATCAGTTTCATTGTCCTTATGCTCCCAAGAGTTTTCGTTCTGCTGGTGGTGGAATCAGTCGTTTCTAGCTTTTGCTTTCAAATTTGTCCTCATGATGGTGCATGCTTCCTGCAACATATATACAAGCAGGGAACCAAAAGAGTTGCGTGATTACTATAAAAAGAGTTGAGAGATGCAATTTGGTTTTAGTGGTGGGGTTGTGCATTGTCTCTCCTTTGTCTCATTCTCAAGATGAAGTATTTTCATTATGCTCATTTTTCACTTCACTGTCCCCTCTAAGTTTCATCCTTTTACTTCGCTCGAACTTTATATATTGCTTGTTCTGATTTGATTTCTATTGAGTGTATGGCTCGGGATTCTAATACAATCCACTAGCTATGTTTTTGTTTTGCCTGTGATACTGTTAATAGGAAGTGAAAGGGAGAAATAGAGTTTTTATACAGTATCAATATTGATCGGATGTACCATTTAAATTGTTTATTTTCTTTAAAAAAAAATTATTCACTGACACGGATAAAATGGGTTTATTATAGCATTACAACACGGTTTGTTTGAAAGTATTGTTCCTCTTTTATTTTCGTTATATCTAGAATTGTTGGCCTCAACCAATTTCGGTGTCGGTAGGATTTCATAATCCATAGTTTTTAATTATAAGAAATTTTGATTAGAAGGTGAGGCATAATAAGTCAAAAGGGGAATCTGAAAATCTGTTGTGGGAATTGAGGATATATTGTCCGGTGAACAAGTGACCCAAATGAGCCACAGTTCATGAATCATTAGTTTGTATGGCCCCATGCTTTGGTGTGATATTGATATTGTCATAGATATTGATTTGATTTGATTTTTATTGAGAGACCTCCTAATCAATTTTGCAATTGCTTGGTAGTCATTTTTTAAAACATGAAAAATGGGTGAGAGAGAGGGAGAGGGACTGTTGTAATTGACTACAATCAATGGTGTGGCAAAACTGAAATAATAATAATAATAATAATAAGCATAACCTTTTTGTTTAATTAAAAAAGGGAGATAAATATAATACCATACAACTTCAAAAACTCCAGTCTAGTATCATATTGCAAAATTATCATTTAACAAGCATAAAAACTAACAGCAAATGGATATGCTATGCATTACTTGGTTGTCTTTTAGCATTTTCTTGTTAAAGTCAGTTTCCTTGTTGTAAGACTAAAAAGCAAAGAATCAACATAAATTCTGATAGGTGGAATCTCAATAAAAGATAACACAAACTAGCTGGGAATGGCTTATTTAAAACCAATTGTCTCAACTCTCAACTACCATATCTGTTGATCCATTACTTGGGAAGAGTACATGTTTTACTTTTTACCAAGCAGTAGTTTCTGCTACTGGATGATAGCCAAGATGGAACAGAACTAAGAACATAATGAATGATTCCCAGAATTTTGGGTAATCTGCAGTAATGTTGGCTTGCCCTTTCACTGTCTCCCATTTTTACAATATCCAACTAGTGGGAGGCTTCTGATCATAACCCATGTCAGAAATGGATGGGGAAAAAAATCATGGGTAAAAAAAACCCCCTGAAAAGTTGAGTCGAACTGTGATCAGTTATCACTGAACTATGGTGAGCTGTTGCTGCTGCTGTTGAGCTTCAAACTTGATCCCAGCTTTCATCTTTCTAATGAAATCCTCACATTTCCTCTGCAATTCTTCACCACTCAGCAACCCATTTTTCTCTTCTCCTTGTCCAACTTCAACAAACGAATCTCCATCTATATGCTTCTCCTCATCACAACCCCCAACTTCACCTGTCATAAAGCTGCAATTTTCATCATCCTCTTCCCTTTCGCCCTCTGAAATCACTTCTTCTGTAACAAAGCTGCAATCTTTACCCTCCTCTCTCCTTTCACCTACTGCAATCACCTCTTCTTCTGTTGCCTCTTCCAGTACTTTCTCCCTAACTTCCATCTCTGACTTAAAGTCAGCAACTTTCTTCTTCCCCCCATTCCCGATCAGACCAGAACTCCTTGCAATCAGGACCAAGATCCAATTGCAGAGGATGAACATGTAATTCTTGTCCACAACTGTGCTGGAAAGTTCGATTACCAGAGGGAATACACAATCAGAATGCTGAAAGAGCACAAAGAAGAAGATAATTGGAGCTATGAACTTTGTTGCCTTCTTTACGGACTGGGAAGAACTGCTCAAAGGTAGAGACTTCCCCTGGCGGTTTAGGGATATGGGTTCCATTTTGATCTTTTTCCCGGAAAGATGGGATGTGGGTCTGTGACTGTGAGAAAGAAGAGATGGCTTGTAGTTGCGGTTTCTTTTATTTTTGGCTGAATTAAATATATATATAGGAAAGGAGATGTTCCGTTATATAGGGGACTTTTCTAAGGGCAATGAGAACAGGTCAGTCAACTGCCCTCTGTTTGTTCTGTTTAACTACTATTGTTAGTCCCTCAGGGGAAAGAAGGGTGATACTTTTCAGTTTTTGTCCTTTCCTTTGGGCTTCTAAGAAGATACCATTGGAATTTCTAGGAACCTATGATGTAACTAAAATTCCCCGCTTTCACGCGGCGATTTTTTGTGTATCAAAAAATTGGTAAGAAATCTGAGGTTTACGGTTACACAGAGCAATAGCATGATTAGGTTACTAAAATTTGATCCATTCAAAAATTATTTAGAGGGGCCAATGATATATCTACTCTCTCTTAGTAAGTTGACCGATTCAAAATCAAATTTAATAACTTAATTTTTTGCTAGAGGACATTAGGGATGACATCGGGACAAATTGATGGGGGTTACCCCTATCTAATGCCCACCCGTCGAAAATGGCCGATTTATCAGTCCCCCACTCCATCAGCCAAACAGGTCAGAATTGGATATCATCCCCGTTAATGAGCGGTTTTTCGGGTGCCCACAGGTTTCTAATACCCGATAGAAAATAATAAAAAATTGAAATTGAGATAAAAATTGAAAATTGAAAACAAATCTTAATCTTCATTCATGTTTTATAGTTTCAAATGAACAAAACCAAACTGCATTGTTGTTGTCACCAGCTCAGCAACAACAACCACAACACCTAAAACGAAATCAACTAAACATAATCCATTCCCATCAACATGAGTGTCGAGTAGAATCCAAAAGCAAGGAAAATGAAATTAAAAATTTGTCCAAAATGCAATCTAAAAGCAACAACAACCCCTATCAACTACTAAGACCAACAACAACAACATTCCAAATTTCCAATAACAGCCAGCATTGAGCAGTTCAGATCAGCAAGCAGCAGCCAACAAGTCTGCAACAACAAGTCAACAAGCAAAATGAGTTTATAGCTAAGAAGTAAGAACTTGAGTTGAAGTATAAACATGAGTTTATAGCTAGCAAGTCTCCAAAAGTTCATAATGTTAAAAGATAACTTATCGAAGTTTATACCTTGGCTCCACAGCAAAGAAATCTTCGGTAATTAGTCTTCATGGCCAAATGGTGATCTCATGAACACCATTCCTGGACCTGAAGAAGGAACGCAAAACACATTAGTCATATGCTTGAATGAACAAAGTGAGAACTATGAAAGATTAAGAGAAAGTCTTAGTGTCTTACCCCCAGGTTCTGCCCCTTCAACTGAGTTATCTTCAATGGACATCGTAGAGAATACTCCCTCCAATGCCTCCATAGCAGCCTCAGAATATGTACAAAGAGGATAAGGTTAACATTTAAGCAAATAAAGATGTAATCAAATCGAGAGGTATAATTGTAGTTTACCTCGTTGCATGTCTTCCAGCTTCGTGTGCACATCATTACGTACACAGTTGAATAATGCAGCCTGCTCCGGTGAGGGTCTAACAACTTCCCACCATAACTAAAAACACTCTTAGAAGCCACAAAGGTGCGTGTCTGGGATTTCCAAAAAGTCCCTCGCAATTGCTTGCAAGGTGGGATACTTGAGATCATTCAATTTCCACCACAATAGAAGATCAAACTCTGTTGTCCGAGGAATAATATCCCCAACAAGATAGTGGTCCAACTCAGTAGTAATCAAAGTACTCTTCGTTTGCTTTGTGGATTTGAAAAATGAAGGTTTTGGTAAAATTTGGGTTTTGTAAAACCATGGATATATGAGGGTTTTGGGTTCATCATGGACTTGAAAAATACCATTGTTTGTTTCATAGATTTCATGATGGAATTGGTTAATTAGATTTGTATGTATGAAGTGAAATTTACATTTATTTCCCTCATTGGTATGAAAAGAGAAATGAAATAGGAGGGGTAGTTTGGTCTTAAATGATGGACTTCAAAGTCCATGATCAATTCCCACCTAAATAGGTGGAACTTTCAAGTACGTGGGGTCCACGGATTTGGACCTTTAAAGTTCGTGGGACCCATGGATTTGTTGCCCCTAAATGCATCAAGCAAACAATGGATTTTGGACAAAATCCATGATGGATCCAAATCTCTCACCAAATCCATCACCAAATCTATGAAGCAAACAAGTCTTACTCTTTTTTCTTTGACTTACAAACAACTCAAAGTCAAGTTCAGTGGCCGAGACAGATGCAAAACCAACAAAGTTCCAGTTCTTGAACCAGATTTTTTCCCAGCTTTGGATTGACAATCAAGAATCGAACCACAGATAATTTCCTTGATATTCTCAGCCAACAAATCAGTATCATTATTGCCAAACTTTGCAGCACAGTACTCAATAACATGTAGCTTATACCTAGGATCCAAAATAACTGAGACAACAAGAACAAGATGGATATCATCCCAACACTTATCAAACTTCATGGACATCTTACTAGTCATACCAAAAATCACAGAATTGGGATCATCACCCCACTCAATCAGTTTCAGTCTTAGATCAAAAATCTTTGGGGGGAAAAGATTGGCAGTCGGGTATTTGGAATCAGATAATAAAAAAGTAATCTCATAGAAAATATCCAACTTCTCAAGCACAATAGATGCAAATTCCAAATGAGCATTAGAAGGAACTGATGTGTATTCACTATCCCTCATGCTCAAATGAAACAATAAATCCTTTTTATGGAAGAGCAACAGAGAGCATATGAAAGGTGAAATTCCATCTAGTTGGGAAATCAAGTACTAGCTTTTCCTCAAAAGATAATTTCAGTTGCTTAGCTGTTTTGAAGAAGGTATGAACCCTCTTGGGTGTATAATTCCAGTAAACTACACTCTCCCTAGTCAAATGTATAGCATCCAAACCATCCCTCACAGTCAAGTTCAGAATATGAGCTGAGCACCTCATATGAACCAATTTACCATCCAACGACAGGTCACTACTGGTCACTAGCTTATTTTTCAGATGAAATATCATTGAATCATTGGTGGTGCAGTTTTACAATGTGATTAAGGATAACTTCCCATCAATGTTCTAATCCAAAAAAGAATCAAACAATCTATCAACAAGTCTTTCACTTGTGTGAGGGGTTGGAACATACATAAACCTCATCATAATGTTAAGAATCTTCCAAGAGTTATCAATAAAGTGGCATGTTACTGCCATATACCCTCTTTTCTAATTTGTGGCAGTCCACAAATCAGTAGTCATAGAAATCCTACCCAATTTACCATCAAGAATGCTTTGATATTTGCCCATTTGAACCATATACAAAGCAACTATGTCCTTTTTTCATAGTGTTTCTACAAAGAACAGTGAATTTAGGTTGGAAAGAACAACTGAATCGTTTGAACCCCAAGTGATCAACAATACTAAGTGGGGAATCATGGGCTAAAATCATGGAACAAAGTTCCTTCCTACATACATCAGAATTGTACTGAGAAGCAGAGATTTGAGGCCAAGAATTTTCCGAGTACCATCATGTATCCTTCTCTGGATACATGATTTGATATGGTTTCTAAGATTTAAAATTTCATTGCTTGTTTCCCCACCAAGTGGTTTCTTGCAATATTTACACCTTGCTTTCATTACCCCATTAATTCTCACTCTAGTGAAGTGAGGCCACACTTTAGACGTTAACCTAGGTTGTTCTACCAGTTCTTCCTCTTTACCATTAGCACGATTATTTGCATCAACAACAGCTTGTTCAGGTTGGACAATTTCACCAACATGTTCTATATTCAGTTCGCCTGCCATCTTCATATACACATGAACAAAAAAGTCACAGTTAAAAATCTGTCAATCATCTATGCATGTTTGTAATAAACCACTAATTCAGAAAATAGCAACGAGTAAGTAGAGTTGAAACCCTTAACCTGGAATATGAAGTTTGGTCTCTGCCTCCCTGTCTCTGGACAGATTTGGATATTAAAACTCAGAACTCGCTTCCCAAAATGAGAAGAAGATGGCCAAATGATGAGATAGAAGGACTCACTTGAAAATTTTCTATATATAGAAATAGAAAGCGGAAAGAATGAAGAGTCAGTTCGACTTCTAAATTAGAATTTAAAATAAAAGGGAAAAAAATGTATACAAGGATTAAGGAAGCATGTTGTTCCTTATCTGTGATGATATTCGATAGAACTCCAAACAACTCCTTCGGCTGTTGTGAACGACGAAATCGTTGACGAATGATTGCTCTTTCTGCCATGTGATTGGAGGAATTGAAGATGAAAGATTATCGATTCGATATTCTAGGTGAGGTTTTGATTGGACAATGAAAAAAAATCGGCAAAATTGCGCGTTGATCGAGCGAATTTCCTGTCTGATCGCCATTTGCTAGAGAGAGAATGAGAGAGAGGATTAGGTTTTTCAGATTTTGGGGGAGTCGAGAGTGAATGAGGGTTTAGAGAGTCTCAAGCGGTTGCCGCTATGTTAGGTGTTGTTTATATATGCACACCAAAACGATATCGTTTTATGCACGGATAATCTAACGAGTGGGTCTCGGGGCGGATATGCATGGATCCGGCCCCGTCCGCTACCCGCATTTGACGGGCAATGGGTTACCCGTGACTCGTTGACGGGACTCAACATCCGGACAAAATAGGCCGATGGCGGGCGGGCTTTGGCCGGATGCCCAGAAGCGGGCATCAGCCTGTCATCCCTAGAGGACGTGAGCATTGTTTGTGGTTTTTATTCACAACAAAATTTCTAAGGAGAAGAAAATTTCGAGAAAGAAAATTTGAGTAGTGCAAATTATATGAGAAAATATTGTTTCATGAAGAAAGTGAGATGAAAATAAGAGAAAATGTATTTTTAAAAGAGATAGTTGATAATGCAATAATTAAAAAAAAAATATTAATATTTTGTTTAATTTTACTAGTTAAAAAACTTTGTTTTGTAGATTTGCAAAAGTATTGATTGATGTCTGAGGTTGGTCCAGATGTCCGAGATGTATTTTTTACATCGTTTCAATTTAAATCCCGCTTAAATAGATTTGATATAGAACGTGAACACGAACTCTGGCACGATAATTTTTTAGACTGTGTTCACTCTCCGATTAAGATTAAGAGACTGGACATGGCTAGGGATACCGTCGTCCATATTCCTCTCATATAGGACTTTTATTGCGTCTTTTCTTAATTCATCGGCAATTCCAAGTGGATCCAAATACAACCACCAACACGGTTGTGGCTTCAGCCTTGTTGGCCTCGACATTTTGCTTACAAAGTGTTTAACTGCATTCTAAATTGTTTGAAACTCCAAATTTCCGCTCCTTAGTGCATTTATCATCCAAATATGGTATAACTCAATTCCAATTACCAGAGAAGAAGCAAAAAAATATGACAAGAAGCAGAACAGGTCTTGCAAGAAACCAATATTCAAATTGAAAAAGCAAAGAAAAAATATATCACATTAGAAGAGAACCTTTTCGGAACTAGTTAGGAATGGGCACCACTATCCCAGCCCCGATCCAACCAGGTTCTATTGATCACACTAAAATACCATATCAAGTATAAAGTGACAAAGTAAAAGACGCCCACAAAAGGAAGTGAAAACATGTATAAAGTGACAAAGTGTTTTACGGCTTTGATTTAGGGAGAGAGTAACGAGCTTGTCGTGGACGCAAATTCATCGTTCTACTGAGAACTTGACTCGCACGAAAATACACCACAATAAAATCCTAATTAGAGCCCAAGTTTTTAAACTCTAACCGGGTGCAGTATAGGGCAAGTATTTGGATATCGACCCGGGTCGGTCCGTCTATCCCTACTTCCGTTGTTGAAATCATTATCTAGCAACAAAAATTTGGTTTAAAAGGTTTGCTAATTGAAACAAAGAAAGCAAAGGTGATTGGATTTGAAAACTCTTTTGTGGGAAAGTCACTCGGGTGTCGCTTCCCCCTAACCGCTACCATGCTATGTGGATTGGAACAATTACCTTGGGCACGTTAATCGCGAACCGCAGAGGGATACATATGTGGTCAGAGACCACATCTCAATTGCTAAACCCAGGTGAGGATGAAAGGTCGTGTCACTCGACCCTCTCGGTTTAGACAATCGCTAATTGACTTACTCCCTCACTCAACTCTAAGGTCTGACGGTTTAATCATGATTAATCGACTTTCTTAACTCAATATTGAGGGTTGCCCTAACTTAACCTAGTTTAGGTGGCTTAGAAAGCGGAAGGAAAACCAACTCGATTGAGTCTCCCTTGAAAGGGGGATTTTCCTCTCTAAACTAGGCTAAGGTGGCAAATTGGATTACTAGCACCTAAATGCACAAACTTAGGGGGTGCTAAGCACAATTATGCACAATCCCTAGGTTGCTAAGCACCTAAATGTACAATTATTCACAACCCCCTTTGTTTGCTCCTCGCTTTGCGGGTCATGGCTCCAATTCACGGTCCTGTAAGACCTTGAACTCCAATATCAAGCCGTGGAAATGCAGCTGTCTCCACCTCTTTGCCCGGTCTTTGCTCCTTTTCTTCCAACTTTCGACTCTGGGTTTGGTATTACCTGTTAGGATCTGAAACACACTAAAACACAAGCAACCTCGCGTAAAACCAACCTTTTTGGAGTTCAATTGCAACAAACGTCAAAGAGAATCGGGGATAAAAAGTGTACAATTAGGCCCGAATCACTCCCCCACACTTAGACATTTGCTTATCTCCAAGTAGACCATTTCACACAAGGTAATCTCTCAACCTAACAAAATGCTTTGGGACAAATCAAAGGGCACAAAGTGGCGAATCTCAATGGCTATTGGAAATTAACACATGATTGTTGCAAGCAATAGCGACATCCACCACAAACGACATTCGAGGTCACCAAAAAATGGGCAAATGAAAAGTTCTCACCTTGTTCATGAATCAATGCAAGTCTCAACAAGATCACTTATAAACAAAAACTAACCATGCATAACATTCAAGTCCAAGAAACGAATGAAGGGGCAACAAAGGTCCTCACCGGGGTATGATATGACATGCAAAACAAGAATGAATCACTCACTCTCTTGACCAGTGGGGTCGGGACCTTTTTGGCGAAAAAATGTGCAAAATCATCAAAACTCAACCCTGTCGTCTCTTTACCATGAAGGCAACCTCTAAATGTTAGAGTTCACGTGACGGTTGTCATCACTAGCTTGTCCGGAGGTCTTAGACACGGGTTCAAATGACTGGCAATTATCTTGGACATGGGGAAAAGGCTTTTTGGATGGTGGAAAACACATCATGAGATCCTACATCTTCACCCTAAACCCAGAGGTTCTACGACTTTGACTAAGAACCTTCCCTACAAACAATGGCCACTAGCATCGGCCAAAAACCTTGTTTCTCCCTTCCAACCTATCACCCATCATGAACTACCTTTAAGCGCTCTTCCTCAGTCTTTCTTGCTATCACATTTTGACTTGGTAGTGAAGGAGTTCTAAAACAATGTGAGTGCTTCAATAGCTTGCATGCCAAGAAACCCCACTTAGAGCATACTCTTCGAATCTTTTGTGGCACTCTCTAATTTATTGACCCCGTTTTATTACCTCTTTTTCGTTTCTCTTTCTTTCTTTTTCTTTCTTTCTACTTTCCTTTTTTTATTTTTTTTCATTTTGAGGGAGATACTAAAGAGTTAAACACTTTCCACACTAATTTTAACAACCAATGCTCTCCTTTAAGAACTCACTCCAACACTACTCTTTTCTCTTTCATTCCTAGCAAGAACCGCGCATAATCCTCCTATGTAGAACCTCAATGGAACTCAAAAGCGAGAGCTCCGGGACACAAGGACGACACACGTATAGACAGGAAGAAAGGATGGGGGGTCATTCTATCAAACACCATTAAGCTCACAAGCACAAAGCTCCTAATCATGAGAACGACCCCCAAAGTCACAAGGCTCAAAGGGGTTGACTAGGGGATAAAACATTTCGGGACAATCAACATTTGGGCATGTACTAATCCTATGCTTCCATCATACTCACTAGTAAAAACTGTGATGTTACTCACAGTGGTAAGAGGGATCTAAGCACACAAGAAGAAAACGATCGGCTCAAAACTCACATGGCTACCTAGTCACCCAATCATTCATTCCACTTTCACAAAACACAATGCATGGCAATTTTAATCAACAAGTGATCGAGTCAAGACATCCATTCATTTTTGCACACATGAGAACTAAGCTTTTGCACTATCCTAATGCACCTCTCAGTCATCATCATACGACACACTCAATCACATGCAACAATTCAAGGTCAATGGCAATAAACACGAGATTCTCCTACAAACCGGCCACTTCGATCATGCAAACATTGCTTGGAGCCCTCAAAATTTTCAAATTTGGGCATACATCAAGGCTAGGGCTGTCCATTTGGTTTTGGTTTTTTGGTTTTAACTGAAACCAAACCAATTGGGAAGCTAATGGTTTCAGTTTTTTGGTTTTAAACCAATAAGCAAACTTAATGGTTTTGGTTTGGTTAAAACCGAAAAACCAATAGAAACCGTTAAGAAACCAATAAGAATAAAATTATTTATCAACAATTTTTTTTTGTTTCTTTTGACATGCATGCCAACCAATAATTTGTAATGGCCATTTACTATTATTATGAAGTTAATTCAATAAAAAGGAGGGAAATGAAAATAAATATGAGTGTATGAGTACATGTTGGTTTTTTGGTTATCCAAACCAAAACCATTAAAGCCCTTATTGGTTTTTGGCAACCGAAAACCAATAAGGCCTTAATGGTTTTGGTTTTTGGGATTTGATTTTTGATTTTTGGTTTTGCATACTTAATGGTTTGGTTAAACAAACCAAACCAAATTGACAGCCTAATCAAGGCTCCAAGCATCCATCACACTCACACAAGCATAAGAATAAACTACACCCCCCCCCCCCACACACACACTTAAGTTCGACATTGCCCTCAATGGCGTAAGATAGTGGTAGAACAATGTTACCGCTTTGCTTGGTGAGTGAAAGTTGGAATTGGTTCCGGGGTAGCAGATTGAAGCTTCAAGGAAAAGACAAAAAACACATATACACAAACACAATACGACTCGCTCGGGACATGGTTATTACACATCACAATACGATAGTAGAACAAGAGAGATTTGCTAACCTCCGTTGGGTTGCCTCCCAACAAGCGCTAATTTAACGTCTTAAGCTAGACAGAGACTTTAGACTAGACATCTTGTAGGAACGTTTTAGGAGGTGTCCATTCACTTTGAAAGTTCCTTGCTCTAGGTGGGATCTCTACCATATGGGAACACTTGCGTTACCGCATACGGGCCCGACCATTTTGACCTTAACTTCCAGGGGAATAATCGTAACTGAGAGTTGTACAAGAGTACCTGCTCTCCTGGTTGAAAATCCTTCCCTCCTTTCAGTTGAGCATCATGCAAGCGCTTCGTCCTTTTCTTGTAAATCTTGGTATTCTCATAGGCCTGGAGACGCCACTCATCGAGTTGAAGCACCTGCAACTTTCTTTCATTTCCACACAAAATAGGGACCATATTCAATAGCTTGGTAGCCCAGAAAGCCCTATGCACTAGCTCTACAAGCAGATGACACGCTTTGCCATACACCAATTGGTAAGACGAGACGCCGATTGGGGTTTTGTAGACCGTGTTGTACGCCCATAGAGAATCATCAAGTTTTGCGGACCAATCCTTGCGGGATTGGTCCACGGTCTTTTCTAGTATCCTTTTCAGTTCCCTATTTGACAACTCTACTTGTCCACTTGTTTGGGGATGATAGGCCATTGACACGCGGTGGGTAACACCATAGCGATCGAGGAGTATGTCGAATTGCCCTTGAAAATGGGTTACTCGATCACTGATGATGGCCCTCAGGGTCCCAAATCATAAAATAAGTTTTTTAAGAAATCCGCAGACCCGTCTTGCATCATTGGTGGGGAGAGCTTGAGCATCGACCCACCTCGAGACATAGTCCATGACCACTAAAATGTACTTGTTTCCAAAAGATGAGGGGAAAGGGCCCATAAAGTCGATGCCCCAAACATCGAAAATCTCAGATGTAATGGAAATCGTTTGGGGCATCTCATTTCGGTTAGACACATGACCTGTCCTTTGGCAGTTGTCGCAATGACTCACAAATGTGTAGGCATCACGTAATAGGGATTGCCAATAGAATCCCGATTGAAGCACCTTCCTTGCAGTTCGGTTGCCACCATGATGGCCCCCAGCTGGTCCTTTGTGGCAGTGGCTTAGAATAGCTGTCATTTCCTTCTCTGGGACACACCACTGGATGACCCCATCGGCCCAAATCCGAAAAAGGTAGGTGACACGCTAAAACACAACACCTAACAATAGCCAAGCGTAACCAATGAAAGGGACTGCAGTAAAGTGGCACAAGTAATAAACATCGAATCCACGGGTTTCCAGAGTTACTATTACTCAGCTTCAGTTCATTATCTAGCCAACTAGATTAAGGATTGATTTACTAAACAACTCTACTAATTACTCTACTAATTACAAGTTGGGAACTCACTTAGGTATGATTCCCCCTAGCTCCTCAATTAGGTCCAAGTTGCAATTACCTTTGGTTGATCTACTGTTGATTAAACTGCGGAATATCCTAAATTAGCTTGGAATCTCTTAAGCTGACCAAACCCTCTTAGACAGAATACCCGGCAAGCGACTAGCCTTCACCGGGATAGACTGCTAAGACGAATCACACAGATCTCCACTACTGGAATGAATTCCAGTACAAAGCAGTGAATTGATTGACTCTCTGACAACCAATTCACCACTATCAATCAAGGAAGCTCTCTTAACCTAATAAGATTCTATCTATCATAGGTTAAAGCAGAAATCAAGAGAAGATGATTAGGCTTCAATTGACTCAATAAATCATGCCTCAATCGATGATAATCAAACAATATAGCATCCAAAACTTCATACAAGAAAGATCCTAACACATGATCCTTTCACAGGCATCAAGATTGGGTTGAATGGCTTACCCTGGCGGAGTGGTGCTACAACACCCATTTTCACATCAGTTTGCTGATGTCTCCCTTTGAGGCGTTGTATGAGTTTCCACCACCTTTCTTTGGGCTTGCAGATCATCTCTCTTCTTCAGTGGGGGCAGTAGAGGAGCGAGTTACCCAGCAACAGCAACTTGTTCAGTTGCTGACGCACAACATTACTCAGGCACAAAATCGTCAGAAGCAATATGCTGGCAGGAGGAGATCTGAGAGAGTACTGCAGGTGGGCGATTGGGTGTATCTTCGTCTACAACCCTATCGTCAAGGTTCGGTAGTGGGCAGGCATGGCAACAAGCTAGGACCGCATTTATCGAATCCTTTCTCAGGTGGGGAATGTTGCTTACAGGTTGGCATTACCAGATGAATCGAAAGTGCACCCAGTTTTTCATGTGTCTCAGCTGAAATTGTGCGATTCATAGTTCCTCCAGCTACTTTCCATCTTCCAGACACTGATGCCAGGGTAAGTCTAAAGTTGGCCCCAGCTCAGATACTTGCTAGGAGATTCGTTAATCAGAACAACCAGGCAGTCACTCAAGTTCTGGTCCAATGGACGCATCAGACACCGAAAGATGCGACTTGGGAGGACTTGCAGACCTTCATGCTACTGTTTTCAGCATTTCCGTCTTGATAATTCTGGTCCAATGGACGCATCAGGCACCGAAAGATGCGACCTGGGAGGACTTGCAGACCTTCAGGCTACAGTTTCCAGCATTTCCGTCTTGATAATGCTCAGCTTGAGGACAAGCTGATTCTGAAGAGAGCGGGTTTGTAACAACCTGCACAGCTGGCGTAACGACTTGTATAGCTGGAAGTGACGTCTAAAGTGTGGAGAAGTATAAATAGGAGAGCATTCTGTAATTGGCTATCTTTGACAACTCATTCTTCTATACAACTTTACTCTTTAGTTAGAAATAAAATAGCTACAGCTCTCTTCTCTCCCAAAATCTTTGTCTTTCTCCTTTACTCTCTTCTCTTCGCCACAGCTCTCTTCTCTCCCAAAATCTCCGTCTTTCTCCTTTACTCTCTTCTCTTCGCCAACATCCAGGTCCTTACAACCTCAGATTAAAAATAAAATAAAATATTACACCTCAACAAGTTTTATTGGAGATCAACAATGAGTAGCAACATTAGAAAAGGGTACAAACTACAACTGATGAGAATCTTCCAATGATTCTTTCTTAGAGAAGCTCCACAACAAGAGCAGATGCCCCACCACCTCCATTGCACACGCCACCAACGCCATACTTCCCGTTCTTCTGCCTCAGCACCTACATACATTGCCATTGCAGACACATAATGAGCAAGAACTCCGTACTAATACACAGAAATGGAGAAGGTTCTATAGACGTACCCCCAAAAGGGTGACTAAGATCCGAGCTCCACTGCATCCGAGTGGATGCCCTAGGGAGACTGCACCGCCATGTACATTGATCTTTTCCTGCAAAAAGTGGTTTAAGGAAATGGACAAGTACATCATCAATTGATAACGTGTGATGGACATCTTAATCATCATATATATATATACATAGAGAGAGAGAGAGAGAGAGAGAGAGTGTGTGGTACTTACTGGGTTGAGACTAAGCAGCTTCTGGTTAGCAAGGGCTACAACCTGCAGAAGGAAATTAAAACTTGTTTAAGTTCACGTTAATTGACTAATTTATCTCAAGTGGGAAATGAAAAGTGAGATCTTACTGCAAATGCTTCGTTTATCTCGTAGTAATCGACTTGGGAAGCATCCAATCCAGCATTCGAGATTGCTTTGGGTATGGCCAGAGCTGGAGCTGTGGTGAAAAGTTCTGGTGCCTGCATAAAGCCAACTCCAAAGAAGATGATCCAGAAGAACTTCGAACAAAACAAGATCAAGGAATATGATGAGCATATAGCATCTTTTCTTGGCGACATTTTGAGAAATATTACCTGTGCAGCGTCGGCATAACCAGATATCTTTGCAATCACTTGTAATCCAAGGCTTAGTGCCTTCTCTCCACTCACTAGAACTAGAGCAGCAGCACCATCACTGTTAATTGAGAAGAAAACATATTAAGATTATATGTACAAGATTTTCTACGATTACTGCAAAAGCCCATTCAGACATACTCGACGCATTGGGATTGAACCCCTGAGGCCTAACAAAATGCTACATATTGGACAAGTAAACAAAGGTACACAAAATCTACTTGCATATCAGAACAATTGTTCAACAAACAAGGTTCATTTTCAGCCCAATTATCGGGTTAATTGCATGGTTGGTCACTAACATTACAAAAAGCGTTCATGTTTGGTCACTGGAAAAATTTAAATCCATTTTTGGTCACTAACTTTACAAAAACCGTTCATAAATGGTCACTCTCCGTTAGCTGCCGTCCAACGCCGTTAACGGCGTCCGTTAAGTGATGACGTGGCTGACGGATTCGCCTAATCAGCACCTTTTAACCCGAAAATTGACTGACCCGACCCGCCACGTCATTTAAACACTCCATGTCAGCCAAACCTAACCAAACCTCTACCCAAACCCGACCCGCTAACTAAAACCAAACCAGACCAGACCCCCAAAATTGTTTGACTAAAACCCTAATCAAAGAATGCCTCCATCCCGCGCAGCCTCCATCCGTTTCGTTTTTCTTCCCGGAGATTTTCTGATCGCGAATGGGTCCTCAGCTTCAACGAATCCGACTCACTCCCAATCCCTAAACAAGCCGGCAACCCAACCATGATCATGCTCCCGCACATTTCCGGCGGGGATCCCAGATTCGTCCCCCACGCCTTCGCCAGCATTTCCCCCATCTCCACCACCGCCGAGTGGTTCGCCGCCTTGATTCCATCGATCCCGCCGAGGAATCTCTCCACGAACTCCGCCGCTGATGGCACCACCAGCTGTGCGCTGTAGTCCCTCGTCCCAATCCACCCGCTCTCCACTGGGAGCCCGTTCCCGTACTCGTGCGATACCACCGGGTGGTGGAGCTGCAACTGCGTGTCCCGCCGACGTTCGATTGGTTGCGGCAGTAGAGGAAGGCGACGGATGGAGGGCAGAAGAACCACTTGTGGAGGTTGCTGGTGTAGAAATCGGCCCCGATTTCCTGCACGTCGACGTCCACGCACTCGATTCCGTGGGCGGCGTCGACGAAAACCTGCTCCACGCCTTCTTCTCTACATATTTTGACCAATTCTTTTACAGGGATTACAACAGCCGGCTCTGGTGATGTACGCCTCCACCGATTTCTTCACGGCGCCGTAGGCGGAGTGGAGCATGACGGCGGCGTCCCCGGGGTTGAATCGGCCCTCGGCAAAGGACCAGGCGCAGTGCTGGAGGAAGGTCGCGGCGGCGGTGGTGGCGTTGTCGACGAGATGGAGGCTGCGCGGGATGGAGGCCGTCTTTTATTAGGGTTTTTGTCAAACAATTTTTGGGGTCTGGTCTGGTTTTAGTTAGCGGGTCGGGTTTGGGTAGAGGTTTGGCTGACATGGAGGATTTAAATGACGTGGCGGGTCGGGTCAGTCAATTTTCGAGTTAAAAGGTGCTGATTAGGCGAATCCGTCAGCCACGTCATCACTTAACGGACGTCGTTAACGGCGTTGGACGGCAGCTAACGGAGAGTGACCATATATGAACGGTTTTTGCAAAGTTAGTGACCAAAAATGGATTTAAATTTTTCCAGTGACCAAACATGAACACTTTTTGTAATATTAGTGACCAACCATGCAATTAACCCCCCAATTATCTGAAGCTCAGGGATAACAAATTGAAGGAGATTGAATAGTGCACCTGATGCTAGAAGCATTCCCAGCTGTAACGGTTCCTCCATTCGGTTTGAAACTCGGTCTGAGCTTCCTTAATTTTCCAGCATCAAACTGTCAAAATATTGAAATAATACGAATCTTTAAGCATTGCAGTAAAAGATTGGATGACACAACCATTTCAGGCTCTTTACCATCATACAATTGGAACTCATGGATAACAAGACCAAAACCTTATCATGGATATCTACCTTCCCTAAACCTTCATCTTTATCAACAATGGTTGATGGCTTTCCCCTTCCACCAGACACTTCAACCTGTAAGTAATCAAGCCTAATTAACATAAAGAATCCAAAATATATGGAAGAACAACTATAATTATGACTAGATGTTTAACTGGAACAATTTCCCACGCAAATGCATCAATGTCCTGTGCCGCAATACCACGCTCAAAACTTTGCACAGCATAGTCATCCTGCAGTCATCAGCAAAAAAAAAAATCTATTTGAGGATACCAAACAAAAAAACTCAAAAACTAATCTAAGAACAAGTAACAATTCAATACCTGCTGCTCCCTTGTGATGGAATGCTGTTCTGCACAAATTTCAGCACAGTTCCCCATGCCAACATCGTTATAAACATCCCATAATCCATCCTTAAGCATCCCATCTACTAGCGAATCATGCCCGAGTCGAGATCCCTTCCTGTATACAGCAGTCAAACCCATTGATCAGAACATATCTCTAATGCTTATTCCCAGAATCCTGAAAACATTTTTAAGACAGTACCTTGCTTCTGCCAAATATTTAGGTACATTCGACATGCTCTCCATGCCTCCTGCTACAACAACATCGTGGATCCCTAACTGAATACTTTGTGCCGCGAGCATCGTTGCTGCAAACATCATCACCCAAACATCATGTCATTCCTCGTACACTTTTTTGCATGAAGATTGAAATATAGTTGACAGTAATCAGAGTAAGCCCGTACACACCTTTCATCCCAGAAGCACAAACTTTGTTGACCGTAGTGCATATGACTGTATTGGAGATTCCTGCACCCAATGCCGCCTGCCTGGCTGGAGCCTGCCCCAAATTCGCGCTGAGTACATTGCCGAAGAAGACTTCCTGGACTAGGGAGGGATCGACATTGGCCCTCTTAAGAGCAGCTGTAAACAGGAGATAACAACTACTGAGGAGGAAGAACCTAAAAGAGAGACCATCATCACACAAGAACAAATTGAGTTGTGGATCTATTTACCTTCAATGGCTATAGATCCGAGCTTGGTTGCAGGGACAGACGACAATGAACCAAGAAATCCACCAATTGGAGTTCTTGCAACTCCAACAATGCAAACATCTGCACAAATTTCAGCAACCATCAGTGGGACAAACCCAGAAGCTAATCACTTGGGGTTTTTAGTTATCAAGTTAAAGGAGCTACCTTTGGGCTTGATATCTGAAGCTGGAGCCATGGATCTGCTTCAGAAGGAGAACTCTGCAGTCCCACAAAAAGAGGAATCAAAGTAATGCAGAAAGGTTGTCAAGTAAAATAAGACACATGATCTGATTAAAAGGAAGCAATCATTCTCAGCTTTGGCTGTCGTCACCTTAAAAGAAAAGTAAAAGCAGCCGCCACTTAACAATTAAGCAAGTAGACCCTAAAACAAAATTTAATTGACTTGCAAGAAGGGTTCGAGTTGCACCCGAAACTTGGACTACAAGTCTAATTCAGCAGTAACCCATTAAAGCAAGAGAAGGAGGGAAGAAAACAAAAAGGTTTCATTCAGATTGGGACTGATCAAAGCCCGGAGCCGAATTCTAATGAGCAGCTGGTAGATCTAATCGCCGGGGAGGGATTAGAAGTTGCGGGGAATCGGAGGAAAGAATGAAGATGTATAATAGCGATGTTATTATCATTACCTGGAGGTGGGCAGGTAGTGATCGGCGGCGAGGAACTGGAAAGAACTGATAGTTTGCACTGAAACTGAGAGACTGAGACAAAGGGATGGAATGGGCGAGTGGGGTTTTTCGGGAATGGATCAGGTCAGTAACCTTATGGTGAGTAACTATGAGTAATCCGCCCACATCAGCATGACATAGGGGTGGGCATGCGGTTCGGTAAACCCGAACCGAATCGACCCGAAACCGAACTATACTGAATCGAAACCGAAATATTACTTTTCGGATCGGAATTCGGAAGTCAAAAGGTCATAGTTCGGAAACCAGTGGTCGCAAACCGAACCCGAATTCCGATTAGCCGAACCGAGAAACCGATCTGAAACTTAAACCCACAATCCTACAGCCCAACTTGACTACTGAGGCCTCTCACAAAGCCCAACCCTGTAAAAACTTAAACCAAACATAGCCCAAAATTAAATTTCTTACAGCCCACCACTCCATGTCTTCTGCTGGTGCTAACCTAACCCTAAGTAAAATTCATCCCTAGTCGCCGCCTGACCGCCTCCTCCACCGCTGCCCATCAAGGATCAGTCAAAGGTGCCGCCGAACCCTCCTGGTTGAGAGACGCCACAGAATCACCCCTGATCTCTATTCTTTTCTCCTCGCCGACCACTGAAGTTCGAGACCCTTTCTCTCTCTCCGCTCTATTCTCCTCCCTGAGACCAGAAACCCAAATCCAAACTTAAAAATACACATGCATCCAATCAGTATCGAAAATCAATCGAGAAACCTACATGCATGTCGAAAATGGTTTACCCGATTCTAGATCCTATTTCCCTCATCTGCGCTCTCAGATTTAATCTTCTATGGTGAGCGTACCCAGCTCGTCGTCGTCGCACGTCAGTGGGATTGGAGGTTCAACCCTCTTGCCGCTACCGCCGTCATACACACACACTGAAATCTTGTTTGCTGGGGCGAGAGAGAAGGTAAAGAAGAAGAAGATAGGGGAAATTTGTTTGGTGAAGGTTGTTTGCTGGGAGGATCAATGAGGATTGGGGAAAGCAAATTTGCCTCTTTGCTGGGCGAGAGAGTCAGAGAAGGTGAAGAAAAAAAGGGTGGAGAAGCTTTGTTTGGTGGGGGAGAGAGAGCGAGTGAGAAAAGAAAAAAAATGATCACCTGGCCCTCATCTCATATGGGTTCTCCCTAGGGAAGCTAACAATTTCGGATGTGGTGAAAATCCGAACCGAACCGAGATATAATTCGGTTCGGCCGAACCGAACCGAATTATATTTCGGTTCGAATTCGGTTGAGGGATTCTGTGATTCGGAAAATCGGGATATACTAGTTCGGTTCGGTTCAAACCGAACCGACCGAACGCCCACCCCTAGCATGACATCAGCATCCTCTCTCTCTTGGAAAGCCTTTAATTTTCCCCTCCTTAATCTTTGACGGACGATTTCTCACTCGTTTTAAGTCAAAATTTAATTTTTTTTGCACAGTTAGATCAGATTAATTGTGCTCTTCAAAATGATATCCACTTTGATATATTTTTCGAACAAAAAAAATTGAGCCATTTTTTACCAGTCTATACCATATGGTATTGACTGGTATTGAAATAAGAGCATACCTATGGTCTGAAAAGCGTACCATGGTGGTATGAACAAACCAAGACTGTAGGATGATTGAATACACGATAGTAGAAGTATATTAATTGTCATTTACGACTTTTAACATTGTATACCATAAGATACCATAAAATACCACCCCGTACTAGGGTGGTATTGTATGGTATTTGGTGGTATTTTTTGGTCTTGTAATTTGTTCACCCAGAAATTTGTAGATCCAATAGATCATGATGAAACCGTCCCTGCTGTGCAAACGTTTTCAAAAACGAATGAAAAACGAAGAAGATACCATATGGTATGCAGTTGGTACCGAGAGTCCAAAATTTTTTTTCCCTAAAAAAATATTGAAAATTGATCTCATTTTGTAGAGCACGATGTACTCGTTCCATCTGTGCAAAAAAAATTAAAATCCGAGTTAAAACGAAAAATATATGAGTCAATTAAGAAAGCTAGTAAAATAAAAATGACATTTAATTCTTCATCTTTAGATCTGGATTTTCTAAATGAAGGGTCCAGATTTGGTTATTGATGGGTGCATAACCATGGGTTATGCACCCTATCTTGAGCCGGGTTTTTCTTTTGAATCTCCTGGCTTTGTTTTTAACCAGCTGGTGTTAGGAACTATATATATATATAGAGCCTACCGGTAAAGTGATGGGAGTTTGAACAATAAACAACAACTACCAAGATTCCTAGACGGGCGGTGGGTGATTGTTTATTGTTTTGTTCTAAGCGCAAATGATGACTCCATATACTTTTTTTATCATATATAGTTTGATATTACAGTTACAGGACAGTAGATAACCAGACGCGACAGTCAACAACTAGTCGAACTGTCAATGAAAGGGTATTAGTAGGCATAAGGTGGGCAACCTTGTTGTACAAACGAGGAGTAAAAGTGCAATCAAACAAAACAAAAGACTGCGACGCCAAGCAAATCTCCTCTAGCACCGCACCACCGGCTCCATGTGTCACATCCCTCTCTCGAACCCGGCGAATCAGAGGTTGATAATCACCACAGAAATTAACTAGCTTTTCACCCGGCCCGTTGGCAGGAGAGTTTCATTTTATCGTTGACATTAATTCAATTTATCTATATGTTTAAACTATTTTAGAACTTCTAAATTTATTATATTTTGTATTGATAAGTGAGTATGTGGTGTATCTATATATTGAAAATTCCCAATACTTAGCACATTCACTTATACTGTTTGAATTCTCTAATCATAAACCATGTCACAAAGGTATACCACGTCCATGTACAATTTTTTCTATCTTATTATGAAACCATGTTGTTCAGATGAGGACATCTTATGGAGAGTTTCTTTGTATATATACTTCATTATTGGATAAATTTCTTCATCCCAATTTAAAGTTGACACTTTGAATGTTCATAAGTTTACTGTAAGATCTTATTTGTATTCAGTCTTTTATACAATATGTATCAATTGCTAATTTCTGAAATTTAATTTGGACTAACTAAGACTCATTGTCGTTGTTTATATATTGTTTTAGAATCTAAATCCAAGATACTCATATACGAATTTTGATCTTAATATAATGCGTTAGTGTATAATTTTACAACTTGTAGAACCTCCATTTTCTAAAATTTATTTATGTTTGGTATTTGTTTAGAAATAAAAACTTCATTACTTATACTAATATATGCATTTTTTGTATTGCCACATTTATTGTCAATATATAAGCATATATATTAAAAAGAGATTAATTATTTTTCAGTGCAATTAATGCTTGTTTTTTATCGGGATTTGTAAAATGTTAAGAAAATAAGGGAAATATGAACAATTGTAAAAGAAAATAAGGGATGGAAGGACATATTATAAGTGAGAGAAAAGTTATTCTTACTTATCATCGTCATTTATCCAATGAGGTGATCTATTCTTGCTCCATTGAATTTTCATCGAATTATTTTATTTCGTAAATATATTATTATTTATGCATGTGTTTTATTGCAAAAAAAAAATGTATGTGTTTGCTAAGAAAGATCATATCTCTTACGATGATTAACTTCTCTAATCTTGCTTCATAGGTCAGTGGTTGATGAACACATGATGTTTAACATACAGTTTAGCAAAGATTCATTTAACTTTCACATGTATCATTTTTTAATGTATCTCTTTTTTCATCTTAAGATATGAAGTCAAGTTCATCAACAATCATACGAAGTCATTTTAAATTTTTTGATTTATAATCCTTGAAAATTTATTACTCCAAGTCTGAAAATTAAATTTCTTAACAATTGACGTAAAACTTCAGTAGAGTTTGCTAAATTAACACGATCTAGAGCAAAAATGCAAAATATTAGTAATTTGAACTTAGGATACATTGTAAATTATTGCACCTATGATTCATATTTTTCACTTAATTAGAATGAATAAGGTTTTTGTTAAGAAATAGATTTTATTGCTTTGTCAAGTTTCTATTCAAACGTTTCTTGTTTCTCTCTTTAATTTTCATCGTTATTTTGTCGCGATAAATGTTATTATGTATGTGTGTTTGTATAAATTGTTCATCAAAATGTAACATATTTGTAAATTATTGTAAAAGTGAGTTAAAAATTTACTTAGTGAGCTTTAATAAGATATTTTTTTGGTTAAGAAAAAAGTTATATGTGTGACTCAAAGACATTAGTCTATTGTTGCGTACATCTATACAATGCAAAAGTAAAACCAAAACATAAAAGAAGTATTGGAAAAGAAAAATAATATTAAAAAACGTTAGAGATAACAAATGTAATATATGTCACTTTTCATACATTATTTATTATTGTGTACATTGATAATACAAAAAAAAAAGGATAAAAGGGAAATGAAATATTAAATGAAGAGAGAGATAGCTCCATAAATATATCAATAACTATTTTTCTTTTTGTAAAAATATTGTCCACCTTGGCAATTTGTGAGCTCTCCAAGTGCTTAGGTGGCAAACAATTACTTTTGAATTGCCATAATATTATGTATAGATAGATAGATAGATAGATAGATAGATAGATAGATAGATAGATAGATAGATAGATAGATAGATAGATAGATAGAATAAAAACCATGCGTCAAACACCAGTGCACCGCATCTCGAAGAGCTAATAGTTCATATATAAATGGGTTAATAATACCAGGGTAAAACTTCCCAAAGGCAAAGATCAACTCACCTTGATTTGAGAAACCAGCAAACTCGGTTCCTCCACCTACATCTTTCTTCCAAGCACCATCAAATCTGACGAGAATGCCACCTGGTGGGCAAACACCATCCCGAGGCCTGAGGTGCGACCCTTGCCTAACTCTTGGACGTGAACTAAACTGCCCATCTCCATTTCTATGAAGCGTTAGAAGGGAAGAAGTAAGTTGCCACTGATCGACTTGAGCTTGGAATTGCCGATGAAGCGCTCGTCCATTGTACTAGATATGCTTGTGGATTGCCTAGCATCGCGATTTCTACACTCGCCAGCAAAGGAAAACAACATCAGCAATCTCACTCTTGGTAAGATGACAAGAGAAAAACAAGAAATTCCAACAATCCAAATGGGAAAGACCCATCAGCCGTTAATGAAGGGAACCCAAACCAGCTAAATCTCAAAGTTGTAATGCTACCAGACAATGTAGGAAGGAGTGCATAATGGATTCAGCTCCCACGGATGAAGACAGGACAAGTGTCGTCCGTAACAAGCCTCTTGACCTTCAGAACCGAACCAACATGGAGAAAGCCCCAAACTAATCTCCACCAAAAAAAAACTTGAGCTTGGGCGGGAGTGCGGTGCTCCATAGTAGCTTCCAAAATCTGCAGTCATAAGGCAACGGAGGAGGGGGATTAACAACAAGAAGTTCATTAGATAGCACATGGTATCAGTCTTAACAGTGTACTCCCCATTAGGAGAGTGGTGCCAAATGAGTTTATCTTAACAAGGAATCAAGACCAAGGGAATAGAAAGAATTAAGGACATCGAAGCAGGGACAAACAAGTTCTCAAGCAGCAGGATATTCCATGGCCAGGTAAAGGGACAAATAAGGTCAGAAAGAAAGATTGGACAGTGATCTACATCCTGGCGTAGCAAATGTGAAGAGGGAGGTATAGTAGGAAGCCACTTATCTGCAAGTACTTGAATCGCGCGTCCCATCCCCGATACGCCACCGAAGCCCGCGAATAAGCAAACCCCTCCCTGCTAAAATGCCCTTCCAAGCCCAAGATGGTCATGGCCCCAATCTCGCCTCCATAAATGAAGAGTGAGTGTGATATCTTGCTCGGTACAGCTTGGGCAGCATTGACTGCGAGTTCATGAGAACCCTCCAATCCTGTTTAGCGAGTGGGGCAATATTGAATCGCTCAAAATCCCAAAATCCAAGTCCCCCGGAAAACTTGTTTTAACAAACCTCCTGCCATGAAAGCCAATGCATCCCATCCTCCTTGTCCTGAACAGCCCACAAAAACCGAGAGAGCTTTCCATTTAATCTGCGGCGGGTGAAGGAGGGATGCCTAAAGGAAGACATAGCATAATTCGAAGTAGTAGATCCAATGACTTGATCACAGTTTCCTTTGCTGCCAATGACATGGCTTTCGCTTTCCAAGACCGGATACGGCTAGCCAACCCCTCTTCTATAAACCGGAAGGTTTGTGTTTTAGATCGCTGAATATGAACCGGAAGACCCAGGTACTTGTCAAGGACATTCGAGTCAGCCACTCCAAGATAGGCTCCCAAAGCCACGCGTTCCTGATCAGAAACATTAAAGCTAACATAAATAGAGGATTTTGAAAGGTTTACCTTCTGACCACTTACACTTCCAAGCTCGTCCAAATATATGAACAAATAGATCGCTCAAATGACATATCCAAACTCAAATTCTATGATTTTTAATCAAAGGTACGTCCGGCATACGCTATACGTTTGTGTTCACACCTATTATTTGTATTTTGATAATTTCCACGAATCAGAGCCATTGATTTTCATTTGCAGATTAAATGAATCTTATGGTTCAGGTTAGAGAATTGATGATCGAGATTCATCCATTAAAAGTTAGGTTATAATATCATACCGAACTCCGATTAATTTATGATATAAATAACAAAACTTAACGAGCGTACGCTAACTTGAACCATATACATATATATATGGGGAGTTCTACGGTACCTTGGGTGAAATCCGGGGTACGCATACCTTGAGTAAGAAAACGCTATCCAGAACTTGAATTGACTGATCTTTCGGACATGATACTACACTCTAACCCTTAAAGATCAAAATCAAGGTATTAATTTTCTAAATCTTATACACCAAGATCAATTTAATTAGCAACAATAATCGACGGTTATGATTCGTCCAAATGTAGGCAAAAAAATCAATGCACCATCTTAGGGTTTATAGTTTATGATTTAGATAATTAGGACCTAGGATTCATTCATTAAGGGTAAGGGTATAGTATCATGCCCAAAAATCCTCCTAATTCGTGATCTAGATAGCGTTTTCATACTCAAGGTATGCGGTACACCGAATTTCACTCGGGGTACCGTAGAAGGTACTGCGTGAACGTATATTTATGGATAACTATAACTATGTAAAAGTTGAAAATTTGTCTTTCGCTTCTTTAGTGTACCATGGAATTATGATATCTTCTCTTATTTTAGGGTCAAAAGATGGATTGTTTGACAAAAAGATATATCTAGTTATCAGCGGCGTGCTTGTTAACTACGGATAAACCCCATCAATAACCA